TGCACTCCAGTCTGGGCGACAGAGTGAGACTCCAACTCAAAAAAAAAAAAGGAGAGAGAGAAAATGGCTAAGAATTGTCCAGAAGTGATGAAAGATCCTCAGATTCAGGAAAAATGAATCTCAACTAAAGTAAATGAGGTGAAATCCAAAGAGACTGCAGAATGTAAAAATTCACAGAATATCTTAAAAGTAATTAAGATATGAAAAACAGATTACTTCCCAAAGGAGCACAGCTTAGACAGCAGTAAATGTCTCAGTAGTAACAGTCTGGAAGACAATTAAATAAATGGTCCTGGTGAATTCTTTTAAGTTATTTCTTTCCCACACATGTAGTCCATGGCCTGTACAGTGACTTGAAGAGAAGTCTAGACTTGCAGCCAAGTGATCGCTGATTATGGAGAGTGAAAAGGACTTTAGCTGCTGTGGCTCTAGTCACTGGCAGTTGGTGAGGAGGAAACGAGCCTGAAAGCAGCTGCTGGTCACTATCAGCAGAGGAAGTGACATAGGTGGTTGGGTGGAGAGAGAGAGACTGTCAAGGCAGTTCCTTGGGAAAGGAAAATGGGCCTAGGAGGAAGGTACCCGCTGCCTGAGGCTTCTGTACCCTTAGAGGGATGGCAGTTCTCAAAGGGAGCCCGTTTTTTCAGAGTGAATTTCTCTTACTCCCCTTTTCCAGGCCTGTGGATGGCTAGATGGACTTAGAAAGAGATGTGACTGCCTAGTGAGGTGCTCTGAAAAGATAAACGGGTCCTCTGATTTCAACAGTGAGTGTCACTTGATAGCTAAATTACACAGGCTCCTTTCTTGGAGCCTGTGACTTGGCAATAATTAGCTAGCGTAAGTGAAATGATGAGAGTTACCTTCTCGTGAGAGTCATGTGTTTTCATTCAAATGGATGAGGATCTAGGGCTAGGATGATCATAAATGGGCTAGGTGTCTTCTCAGTTTGCGTTTATATTCAGCTGCTGTGGAAATGGTTTTGTCAGTTTGCCACTCAGCCTCCTCTCCCTTAATTGTCCTTGTCAGTTTTCTTAGTCGACTCTGGCCCTCAGCAGTCCCCCTCTCTTGTTTCTTTCTGCCTGAGCATCTTCCTTTGCTGTGCTTCTTTTTGCTGCTTTTTGCCTTCTGTATATAAGCTCTTTTTCCAGGCAGGAAAAGCCGTGTACTTTTCATACCATAGCAGCTTCTGGGCGACTTGTGTGAAAATGTGGTGTTGTAAACTAGATCTGATGACACTTTGCTTGCGTAGATGTGGAACTGTGTCCTCTCGTAGAGGGCACAGTACTTAGCCACTCTTCAGAGTCTGCCAGTCTCACTGGATGATGCTTTTTCTCTGTTACCAGTTTCTTCCTCAGAACAGGAAACAACTGACATATCCTTATTCTACCTATTGTTTCAGGTTGTAAATCAAATACCCAGAGTGAGGAATCACCAGATGAACAGAAAGGTTCTGAAGAACAGTCTCATGCAGATGGACTCAAAAGGGACATCGTTCCTGTGATTGTTGCCAATAAACGTGAGACCAGGTTAGAAAGGCAGTGTATAAACCTTGAAAAGGAAGGAGGAACCAAAAATCCTCTTCAAGACACAGGCTCCAAGAAAGGTACAGAATCAGTTCCTACTAAAGCTTCCCCCGGAGAGAGACGGTATATATGTGCTGAATGTGGAAAAGCCTTTAGTAATAGCTCAAATCTTACTAAACACCGGAGAACACACACTGGGGAAAAGCCTTATGTATGCACCAAGTGTGGGAAAGCTTTCAGCCACAGTTCAAACCTTACCCTTCATTACAGAACACACTTGGTGGACCGGCCCTATGACTGTAAGTGTGGGAAAGCCTTTGGTCAGAGCTCAGACCTCCTCAAACATCAGAGAATGCATACTGAAGAGGCGCCATATCAGTGTAAAGACTGCGGAAAGGCATTCAGTGGTAAAGGCAGTCTCATTCGACACTATCGAATCCACACTGGGGAGAAGCCTTATCAGTGTAATGAATGCGGGAAGAGTTTCAGTCAGCACGCAGGTCTCAGTTCACATCAGAGACTCCACACTGGGGAGAAGCCATATAAATGTAAGGAATGTGGGAAGGCCTTCAACCACAGCTCAAATTTTAATAAACATCATAGAATCCACACTGGGGAAAAGCCCTATTGGTGTAATCATTGTGGGAAAACCTTCTGTAGCAAGTCAAATCTTTCCAAACATCAGAGAGTCCACACTGGAGAGGGAGAGGCACTGTAACTGTCAAGTATGTTTTTTTGTTGCTATTTTTGTTTTTTAAACTTTAGAACCTGAATGCCAAGGAGAAGCCTGGCATTGCCGTATCAACTCTGGTGATAGATGTTGCCTCACTTGACATGGAGAATGCCTGAGGAGTGAGAGCTCCACAGTGGCGCCGCAGAAGGGCGGAAGGGCGCTCCTCAGAGGGGTCAGTAGGTTCCACACTCGCGGGCTCACTGGCGCAGAGTCCCCTGCCCACACCTGGGGTCCCAGTAAAACATGCCAGCATTGCCTTTTGCATAATTAAACTAATGTGTATCCAGTGCGATTAAAGAAGAAACATTAAAACCGTTTAGCTGTTTTAACATGTATTCAAGAATTACCATTTGTAAAGAATTGAGCTACACTGAATACAATTTAATCGGATTCGGAATAAACTTAAAACATCTTGTAATGCCTCAGGAGTGTGTTATGATAAATGATATATTGGTTTTTGAACTTAATAAATAGAGAAAACTCTTCCTTCTAGTTTAACTTTAGAAAATCTGGATTTCGGGCTAATAGAGCTTTTGGTACTTGAGTTGACGTAGAATGTGTGTAGTAGCTGCTCAGTAGTCGGCATTGTGGCTTTTTTCTACATACTCAGGCCTCTTATTATCTTTTTGGTTATGGGCAACATTTTGTGAGCCTTGTGTACATTTTAGTGGTGTGTATTCTGTCCGTGCCAAAGTCTGCAGAACTTTACTCTCCCTGAGAAGCTTCCTTCCTCTGGAACTCCAGAAGTCATACACAGTACGATCACTTTAAATCCATTCTGTCTTTTCTCTGACTGCAATCTCTTTGACCTCTTAAGATACTTCTCAGTACCTTGTACTGTCTTTTGGCCAGTATGTCCTCCTGTTACCTAAAAATGCAACTACTTCACTCCTTCTTTCTTTCACTTTCTTATCTTCATATTGCAAGTTTTTTTCACCTCTGATTAGTCGTCACTAAAATATCCTTTTGCCAACTGCTGCAGCCTGACATGCCAAGGATAGGAACAACAAGAAAGTTTCATGTCTAGTACCAGTTCTGATCCCTGGAAACTGTCCTGAATGCCATCCTGGGATCAGACTGGGCTCCAGGTGATAAGTCTTTAAGTACCAGCCAAATATACCTGGCTAGTTTTTTGATTTATTGTAAAGATGAAGTCTTGCCAAGTTGTCCAGGCTGTTCTCGTACCCTTGGGCTCAGGCAGTCCTCTCACCTTGGCCTCGCAAGTTGCTGGGAGTATAGGTGTGAGCCACAGCACTCAGCCCAGTGATCCTTGAAAGCTAAAATTTTCTTACTGTTCCAGTAACCTGCTAAAGATCTAGATGTTGCTGGGGACGGTGGTTCTCGCCTGTAATCCCAGCACTTTGAGAAGCAGCGGCAAGAGGATTACCTGAGCTCCGGGGTTCAAGACTCCAGCCTGGGCACCTTGGTGAGACCTTATCTCTACAGAAAGTCAAAAAATTAGCCAGGTGTGGTGGCACACGCCTGTAGTTCCAGCTACTCGGAAGGCTGAGGCGGAAGGATCGCCGGAGCCCAGCAGGCCGAGGCTGCGGTGGCTGGGACCGGCCACTACACTCCAGTCTGGGCGACAGAGTGAGACTCTGACTCAAAAAAAAAAAAGATCTAGATGTTCTGCCAGCACCTTAAACCCAGTACATTTAACGGTGACCTGTCCCATTTGTCTATTAGCCACAGTGAAGGCCCATGAGAATTTATAATGGCAGCAGCCGGTTTTTCATCTGCAGTGCCCCTGCTGGAGCTGCTCCAGATGGCAGCCGAGGAAGAGGAAGAGCACTGCCAAGCTGCCTCTCATCCTCTCACGTTGAGGCGAGGGGGATGGGCTCCGATCCGGAGTGCCCCTTGTCTGCCTGGACACCTTGTCATCGGGGACACCATTTCTGCCGCGGGTACTTTCTGACGTAGGACAGAAGGATTACACAGTCAGCTCCCAAAGGTCCATCCATGAGCTGAAGTCTTCCTCGGATCTCACTGTCTCCAGACTCGACCGTACTCTTCCTAGCCCCTTGTCTGAGCAAGCCGCTTGCCTCAACCCAGGAGTCCTCAAAATCTTTACCCTAAGCCACTTCTCCCTCCGTACAAAGTTGGTGCCAAGTGCACTGCCCACTGGATTTCTCCTCACACGGGCTTTTAAGGGCCACTTCTCAGTAAGGCCATAGTGAAGCAACAGTACCTCTTTTGTTCAGACCAACACATTGGGCTGATTCCTCGGAAACAGACACTAGTTTTTCTGCCATTAACTGGTCAAAGGGAGCCCTCCATGAATCCCGAAGTGTGGGCAGAAGGGGAGGCATTGTTGTAGCAAAGGTAGGTGCATGGCGGTCTGGGCTTCCTGCTTCGATGCCTACTCATGCTGAAGCCAAGGGTGACATTTCCTTTTTGTAATAGGTCATTGCTGCGTCCACCCAGTCTTGTGACTCAGATCTCATACTCGGCTTATGGCCGGTCAGCAGTTCCTGTTGGCCTAGTCGCTTGATACATCATAGTCCGTGGCGTCCCAGGAGCTCCTTTCCAAGCTGGGAATCATTCTTTGCTGCAGAAGGCCTGGCTCTGCTCTCGAGTCCTGTTGGCAAGCTGTTGGGGCCTACTAGACCCCTACTCAACAGTTCATCTCCTGTAGGCACCTCTCACACCATTTGTGTCTGCCAGGTTGTGTGGTACTCAGGCCGTAACAGCTCTGAGCTACACTTGAAATGGCAAGGCCAGGCGCAGTGGCTCACGCCTATAACCCCAGCACTTGGCAGGCAGAGGTGAGAGGATTGCCTGAGCCCAGGGGTTCGAGACCAGCCCAGGCAACTCGCCAAGACCTCATCTCTACAATAAATCAGAAAGTTAGCCAGGCCTGGTAGCGCACACCTGTAATCCCAGCTACTTGGAAGGCTAAGGCGGGAGGATCGCCTGAGCCCAGCAGGTCGAGGCTGCCATGGCCAGGAGTATGCTGTTCCCCTTCAGTCTGGGTGACAGAGTGAGACTCCAACTAAAAAAAAAAAATAATAATAATCAAATTCTCTGGGAAAAGGAAAAACTGGCCAGGCGCAGTGGCTCAAGCCTGTAATCCCAGCACTTTGGGAGGCCGAGGTGAGACGATTGCCTGAGTCCAGGGGTTTGAGGCCAGCACTTGGTGAGACCGTGTCTCTACAATAAGAAAATGTTAAAAAAAAATTAGCTGGGCGTGGTGGCACATGCCTGTAGTTCTGGCTCCTTGGAAGGCTGAGGCAGAAGGATCGCCTGAGCCCAGCAGTTCGAGGCTGCGGTGGCCATGAGTGTGCCACTGCACTCCAGCCTGGGTGACAGAGTGAGACTGACTCAGAAAAAAAGAAAATGGCAGCCCCCGATCCATCCAATGCATGGATTGGAAAGGCATTCCTAAGTGTTGTATACGTTGCCTTCAGAATCCAAGGAAGCCCACCCAACACTGCTAGTAGCGAGTGCAAGTTGCAACAATTTATTACCTTGGAATTTCCCGGCATGCCTCAGACATTTGCACCCTGAAGAGCTTCACTGGTCTGTATTGTGAATGTGGGGGCATGGAAAAAAAAAGAACGTCACTGGTATAGAAGGCCCTGGAATGCCCTCGAATCTGTGAGGTTCCTCCCCCATGCTTTGTATGCATTTGTGTTTCTGAGGGGTCCAGAAACACTGGCCACTTCCTACTCACCAGGTCTGATCATTAGGATGTCATCACTAGGATGACCTACAGCACGTTCAGAAAACCAAGTTACCTATGTGGAATAGCAGGAAGGTTGGCTCAGCCCTCGGTCAAGAGAGTGAATGCATCCTTTCCTTCCCATTTAATTGTGAATTGCTTTTGATCCTCCGTATTGATGGAGATTTAAAAGAATGCTTTCACCAGACCAATAGCTGCATACCAAGAGCCAGAAGCTAGTTGATCTGTCCTGGTAAAGAGCACGTCCTGCACAGCAGTTGTGGTTAGGTTTATAGCAGACAGCCATCATCAGCCACAATCAATCTGTTTTTCGTGGGAGCCATACAGAAAAATCTTTGAGGACAGCAATAATCAATTCCCTGCCGGATGTGGTTTGGTTTCTGATTCACCATCTTGGTTGGCTGCAATAGGACAGGGTGTTCAGGGGTTTCCACTTGGCTCTTCCTCCCATGATTTATGCTACAGTCTCAATTATCCTCTGATATTTTCTCACAGCTCTGGAGGCTGAGTATATAAGATCAAGGTGCCAGTAGGGTTGGTTTCTGGTAAGATCTCTCTTCTTGGCTTGAAGATGGCCACCTTTTTCTTATATCCTCACTACCTTTACTCTGTGTACACACAGACATGGTTCACGCCTGTAATTCCAACACTATTGAAGGTGGAGGCGAGAGGATTGCCTGGGCCCACAGGGCAACTTGGTGCGACCTCGTCTCTACAATAAATAAAAAAAAATTAGACGGGCATGGTGGCACACATATATGGCTCCAGCTACTTGGAAAGGGGAGGCAGAAGGATTGTCAGCCCAGCAGGTCAAAGCTATGGTGCCAGTGAGTGTGCCACTGCTCTTCAGCCTGGGTGACAGAGTGAGACAGGAAGGAAGGGGGGGAGAAGGAGGAAAACTAATACCAGCCCAGCATGGTGGCTCACGCCTGTATTCCCAGCACTTTGGGAGGCAGAGGTGAGAGGACTGCTTGAGTCCAGGGGTTCGAGACTAGCCTGGGCAACTTGATGAGACCTCGTCTTTACAATAAATCAAAAAAAATTAGCCGGGCCTGGTGGCATTTGCCTGTGGTTCCAGCTACTTGAAAGGCGGAGGCGGAAGGATCGCCGGAGCCCAGCAGGTCGAGGCTGCGGTGGCCGGGAGCGGCCACTGCCCTCCAGTCTGGGCGACGAAGGGAGGCTCCAACTCAAAAAAAAAATTGTCATTTCCCATCATATTGACTGATATAAGCCTTCTCATCACTTCTTTGGGATTTTTGTTTGTTTATACAAGTCAAATCGTTACCCTTTGGGCTGTCAGTCTCCTAGGGACACCAAGGGCCA